AAGAGAAATACAGAGTTTTCCCAGAGTTTCATGTATGCTTTCTTCATTATGATAAATATTTTACTTTTATCATTTTGTGTCCTCCTGATGACTCCCTTTAGCTATTCTTTTATTACAAGTCTTCGGGTGACATATTCTTAGTTTTTTTTTTTTTGGCTTTTTCCTTTTTACTGGCACCGGGAATCGAACTCATGACTGCCTGCTTGCAAGGCAGGTACTTATGCCGCTGAGCTAAATCCCCAGGCCCATATTCTTAGTTTTTTTTGTTTTTGTTTTTGTCTTTTTGTCTGAGAATTTCTTCATTTCTTCTTTGTTATTGAAGGGTATTTTCACTAGATCTAGAATCCCATGTTGGGAATTCTTCCCCTTAGCTGTTGAAAATGCTTTAAAACTTCCTTGTTGGTTTCTGATAAGAAATATGCATCACTTAAATTATTTTTCCTCTCTAGGTAAGATGATATTTCTCTATCCACTTTCAAGGTTTTTTTCTTTGGTTTTAGTTCTCAGAAGTTTGACTCTGATGTGTTTTGGTGTGGATTCCGTTGAGTTTAACCTGAATCCTTAGTTTATATCTTTAAGTAAGTTTGGAAAAATCTCAAGTTATTATTTCCCAGAATGCCTTTTCAACTTTGCTCTTTTTTCTCTTATTCAATATTTTATGTGGCATGCATGTTAGATATTTTGCTATAGTCTCACTGTTTCCTGAGATTTTGTTCATTTTTTTCCAGTCTATCTTCTCTGTTTGGACTGGGCAATTTTTATTGCTTCTCCCTTCAAATTCTCCCTTCTTTTTCCTTCTTCTGAATGTTACTGTAATCCAGTAAGTTCTTCTTTATCAGATGTTTAATTCTTTTTTTTTTCTTTTTTTTTTGTCTTTTTCCTTTTTATTGGTACCAGGGATCGAACTCACGACTGCCTGCTTGCAAGGCAGGCACTTATGCCGCTGAGCTAAATCCCCAGCCCCAAAATGTTTAATTCTAATATTTCCGTTTGTTTCTCCTTTGCATTTGTTGCCCCTTTTACTACTATGCTTTCTAAGTTTTGCTTTTATGTTTTTATTTATGTGAAGAATGTTCATAACTATTTGTTAAATATTTTATCATGTCTGCTGAAAAGTGTTTGTCAGATAATCTTGGCATTGATACCTATCAATTGCCTTTCTAAAATTCAGCTTGAGACTTTCTTCTTCTTTGATATGATGAGCGATTTTTGACTGATATTTCATTATAAGATTCTGGGTATATTTAAACCTTCTTCTGTAGCCATTTCCTCTGACACTGCTCTGGCAGGAGAAGAGGCGATGACTGTGTTACTGTCAGGTCGAAATAGAAGTGCAGATTCTCCACTGGCCTATGTTGACCTTGAGTTGACTCTCATTATTGCTGAGTAAGATTGAGTGCTCCACTCTCCACTAGACCTTCTTTAACGCATCTCTGAGTAAAAGGATAGCCTCACTATTACTTGCTACACGGTTTCCACTAATGTCAGAGTGCTGTGGATGGGCTCAGTGACTGCTGCACAGTGGTGGAAGTTCTGGCTATCTACTAAATTACTTTTGATACCCTCTCAGAGAGCGGTGAATGGGCTGTTTTCTCATTGCTGGAGAGAGGTCCAAATCCCACATCTCTGTACAGTCTCTAACATGTGGCAGAGTGGGGAAGAGTGAGCTCTTTACCACTGGGAAAGGATCACAGTACTTGCAGGGCACAGGACATTCTTTGACTCTAACTCTGGATCTAGTACTGAGGTGCTTCAGCCCGCCATTTTGGCTCCTCACTTGGCCCTTCCTGGTGTTTTGGGCCACAGTGGTTTTTTGTTTGGTTTATTTTGTGTTTGTGGGTGCGTGGGGGTAGGGGAGCATTTGGCTGGAGTAGAGCAGTTCTTTTTAAAAGTATTTCTCTTTCTTTCTTTTTAAATCTTTCAGGCAACCACTTTTCCCAATTCTTTGGGTAAAAATGTCACTTTTGCTGTTGTTTTATCAGTATCCATTGGCCATTTCAGGGTGCTGGCTTTTTAATCCTCAGTATGGGACAACATGAGAAAAAAAGAGTTTCCAGGGAACTTGAAACCACATTGCTCCTGGGGTGTTGAGGTTGCTAGCTGGTTTTCTTTTTTTCTCTTCAACGTTTGCAATCTTTTTACATTGACTTTGTGTTTAATATTCAGCATGTTGTTTTATTTTGTGGTTAATTGTTTTTCATAGCAGAAACAGGGGACAGTATGCATACTCCATCTTCTTTGTAGGACCAATTCTTCAAACATACAAGGATATATTTTACATTATTTTATAGTCAAGAGAAGTACTGGGAAATGAAAAATTTTAGGGAGTCTCTGGCTAACGTTTGGTGGGGAAAACAGTGAATTAGATGGAAATGAGGAAGGTGGCCCAGGAGCGGAGTGAAGGACCAGAAGAGCTGTGGAAGAGAGAGCTGGTGAGTCTTTCTGACGGATAAGAGCTGCTTGCTTACAGAGAGAGCTGGGTTTTGAAGACTTGGAGACGGAAAGAATGTTTTTTAACTGATCATTCCCGTAGTGAAACACAGCCATCCCCTTGCTGCTTAAAAGACCCAGCTTAGGCTCTCTTCTCATTCTTTCAGAGTAACATAAAATGACAAGAATCTTTGAGTCCATCATATTATTTGAGTGTGACCTGCTGACCCAGAGGTCAAGCTTTTTTGCTTGCTTGCTTGATTAGGAAATTCCTTAATTTTTGGAGGAACTCATCTCCAGGCCCTTTTCATTAATTAGACCAGTACTAGCAAATCTTTGAAGAGGAAAAGCCAGTGTTGAAGGCTCTGAAATCCCTGTTTGGCGATTAGGAAGTAAGATAAGAAAAGGAAGCTTTTAACAATGTGACAATCATCTCTGGAGCCCCAGAGAGGCAGCTCTCTGTAATCTGAGGAACCTGGTTGCATGAGAAAAGCAAACAAGCACAAATACCTCTGTGATGCTTGGATTTTATAGAGCACTGATATCTGAAGGTTAATCTGCCTAGCCTGGCCAGAGACGATAGTGTTAAACTGCCTGCTATTCTTGGGCAACTTAACCTGTCATTGTTGAACTAGCTGCATTGAAGCCTTTAGAATCAGACCTGGATGCACAGTTGTGGTGAGGGTCTGGTGAAGCTTTGGTGAAGTCTGAGCCTGAGGGGAAGTGGCCTGAGGTTAAGTGAATACCACCCCCCCCCAACTTGTGTGAGCTCTAGAGAAGCCAGCAAGTTGCTTGAGGCTGTCAGAAGGTATTTTAAATATGCAGAGGTAAAGCAGGCAGCATCTTCTAGACCAAAGCCCCTTCCTCTTTGCACTGTTGCCAAGACACGTGGTGGGACATCAGTGAAGCACCTGGCCTTTGGCTGTACTCAAACTGCTGCCACTCATCACTAGGTGACATTGAGGCATGACTCCATCTCTCCATCTCCATTTCCTCATCTGTAAAATGGCAATAATAATGAACCTATTCTCATAAGTTTGTGACAAAGGTTAGCTGAAGGAGTTAGTGATTGTACACAGGCAGTATTCAATGAACTGTAGGGGCTAAATAGAATATTTTAAAGAGTCAGAAAAAATGTCGAGTTCAAAGTCCTCATTTCATTTTACAGGATGCATGACTAAGGCTTTAAGATACTGCCTGTGGCTGCCTGTACTCTCACCTCAAGACCACTGAACAAGTGGCAGAGCTCCTACCGAGATGCCCACCTGTAAGCACGGAAGTCACTTGTCTTCATGTTTGAAAGCTTTGCATGAAATCTAAGTTATAGTTTGCACATGAAGAATTTGTTATCCGAAGTTTTAAGAGTCAAGATATATGCATCTCAATAAAGTTGTACAAAAACAAAGCAAAAACACAGAAAAAATGAAATGATAGCATTGAAGAAAGGAGGCCATTGAGAGGAGAGGGCCGGATGCAGACACCACAAACCACGTCCTGACAGACGTTCCCCGTCTTGTCCTGATCACACTGTGCATAACATCGGCATCTTCTCTGGCTCCCAAGGTGAGTGATCCCAAGTGTCTTCTAATGCATGTTTTATTTCTCCATTGATTTTAATTAAAAGGATATTGTCAAGGTTGCTAGGCATAAATATTGACTGATGTTGACACCGCAGTTGTCCCAGAGGGGAAGGCTTGCTGTTTCAAGGTTCTTGCATCCCTTTCAGTTTCTCACACTTCCTTTCCGTGTGTTGGAAATGTCAAAAAGGGAACTATTAGGAAATGCCTGAGATGCAACTGAGGTTAGAAAGAAATGAAACTCTGGTGATTTGGAATAATAACTCACAAGTGAGATTTTGGGTCTTAGCCAGATGATTACGAATGTGCTCACGTGGAACCTTCACACTGAGGTACATCCCAGCAGTGTTTTTATTTTTATTCTTTTATTTTTTGCTTTGGTTTGAGATAGAATCTTACTAGGTCACTGAGTTCCCCAAATTGGGCTCAAATCCTCCTGCCTCAGCCTCCCAGAGTGCTGGGACTGAAGGTGTGTGCCACTATGCCTGGCACTAACGTTTACTAATGATCTGGTGCTTTAATCAATTTAGCCATGCGTACTTATGCTTATGCATTTCTAAAAACACCATTGGATAAGAATGATGTTTTTAATAAAGCAAAAAGGTAGATCTTTCAAAGAATCCTTTTACTAACAGAGATTCCTACAGCCAGCCCATTACCCTAACCTGCTCACCGCAGGCCCGAGTCACATGGTGATTTCTAAATGATCACACTCCTGCTTTATGCAGTTATCAATTCAGCTGCATCATATACGGTCATTTCTATCCAGAAACAAGGAATCCTTGAGATGGCATGGGTAGGGTTAATTCTAGCAGTGTCCGAACCTGCAGGGGGCTAAATAGGCTTAGCCCTGTATCAGGAGGAGGCTGACTGCTGAGAGTAAGTGGTGCGAAATGCATTATGAACATTCCCAGCCCAGAGAAATTGTCTTTTTCTTGTTGATAGTAGAAAATCAATACGGTTGTTTTCCGTTCAGTTTTCAAGGGCACAAGTCGCGGCTACTTCAGGCCGGAGAAGTTCATAGGGTGGTTAACGAAATGTCAGCGGTGACTGAGCAGTTCAAGCAAAATTGACATCCGTGCGCTGTAAGTCTGCCCTAAGTGAACTGCCCTAAGGGAAGGTAAAGCATCCAGGGCCATGAGCCGCAAGTACCTTGGAATCAAGGTAGAAAGGAATAGGTGCTTTGTACAACAGATGCAGTGGGTAGGTATGTTGTTACTCTCTTCCGTGTGGGCGGTTGGCGTGAGGAAGGGAGAGAGACTCTCCGGAGAACTGTGGCGTAGCTTGGCAAACACCAAATCCCATAGGGCTGCTGGTACGCTCTTCTCCAACCCACTCTTGCAGCCCAGGAAATTTTTTCCTTGTTGTGGCACTGTCTGGCTTATCATATAAGTTATCTTTCTTCCCCTCCCCACATGCATTCTTTAGCCTGCTCTTCTCTCTCCCCTTCCCGTTGCACCTTTCATAAGTAGTAGAAGGCTGTTGCGCAGTAATTCAAAGCAGAGAAGGGAGCCAGTCTTGGGTTTAAATCTCGGATTTAGTGGGAAAATTTCTTGAACAGCTCCTCTGCCCCCTAACCTCAGTTTCCTCGGTTGTAAAAGTGGGTGACCATTTGCCCTCATTTTATGAGACTGCTATGAGAATTAAATAAGATTATGCCTGTGAAGAGTTTCATGCATAGAAAATGCTTTAAACTCCTCTTTTCCCATTAATGGGCCCTCCTGATTCCATGAACAGCCCTACATCTCCAAGAATAACTCTGTCATCCAAGGAAAATGAGCTTATATGTCAGCTTAGACCACATGGCTGACCACAGCTTCCTTCCCCAAAAGTACTCCATGGATTACAAAGTACCATCAGCGCATTGTATGACGCAGCCAGCCTATAGAGCTCCAAAAGGAAGGCATAGGTTAAAATTCTTCAGTGTATTGTGCCTTTGAGGTGTTTTAAATACCAAATGTTCTTTACTCCAAGTGAAACTTGGTATGGAGTATGTGGATATGATAGTCAAGTTAGGAAGATGCAGGGAGCATAGTTAGAGTTTAGTACAACCCCCCAAAACCTGTCACACACCAAAGGTCGGTACTGTGCACATTAGACAAGCTGGCTCTGAAAGTTCTAATATGAATTTTTAATATTAAGTTAAATTTTTGGCAATAGTTGTATTTTGCACTAGTTAGGGCAGACTAAGTATATCCACAACTCAAGCTTCTAATACCTGAGGTTTAAAACATAAATGTGCATGTGTTGCTAGTATCATCATCTGGTGTGGGGGGGTTAGGGTTCAGCTCTGTGCAGCCATCTGGGGAATCCTCCCCCGTATACTTTCAGTCTTCTTTGTTTGCTATGAGATAAGCAAAAATGACAGCTTGCAGGAGCTGATATTATGGTCCAGGTCTGAAAGTGGAATTTTCACTTCTGCTCCCCGTGGATTGGTTGGGACTCAGTCCCAGGCTGTGTCCAACTGCAAAGGAGACTGGGAAATCAGTCTGTCTGCATGTCTAAGAGAATCAAAAACATGGTTTAGCAAATTATTAGTCAATATAAAACATTATGTCATATTTTTTAATTAGTGTGGCACTGATCCAATTCTTTTAGGCAAGAAAAGGCCAGAGGCACAGTGTGGGGACTTAGGTAAAGCTAGGGGGAAGACAGTAGGGTACAAAACTGAACAAGCTGCTACAAGTTTAGGGTCAGTACTTGAGTGTGGAAGCCTCTGACTGGTGCTCTTACCACCTCGACCATGCCATCCTAACAGTGAACTATTTTAGTAACACTGCTAGATTAACTAGGTAATCTTCTTAAATTTCTTAGCACAGAGAATGACTATGACCTGCCATTGGTATGAATTTTCTAAATTTTGCCAAAACACATTCCCAGACAATCTAATGACTTAATCAAGGGCTTTACCATTTATTTATTTTTCCTTTTTCTCTTGCTACTGTAAGATGCAAACAGTCTAGTCTATCTTGCTCCCCACATACCCCAGCAGTTAGCACAAAATCAGCTACATAGGGAGCATTCACAAAATGGACTTGGATAAAAGAAGGTAATAGTAATTATCTTTATACCCCTGGATCACCAAGGAGTAACATAACATTTGTCTCTAGCTCTCACTCCTGCACATTTCTATAGGTGATTGGTCAGCAGACCTTGCATAAAAGAAAAGAATTATCAGGCATGGTAGTGTACATCTGTAATCCCATCACATGGAAGGCTGAGGCAAGAGGATCACAAGTTCAAGGCCAGACTGGGATTCATAATGAGTTCAGGGTGAGCCTGAATTGCACAGTGAGATCCTGTCTCAGACAAAGCAACAAAAACATAAAATAAAACAAAAGATGAGAGGGAGAGAGAGAGAGAGAGAGAGAGAGAGAGAGAGAGAAAATGATATGTAGATCTGGGGCACCACTGTGATAGGTTAGAAGTCCCAAAGAGACAGGACTTTTTTTTTCTCTAAACACAATGACTGTGTCTTGATTAGAAGGCACATTTTGGAACAGCATGTTACCTACTCCTAAGCATGTTTTCACAGCACAGACATAAATTTTTACATATGTTATATAGTAGATGGTCAAAATTCCAATTCGAATTTCCATGAGCTCTAGGGTCTCTGCACGGAACAAAATTTAAGATAATAGATTTTCTGGAATCTCACAAAAAGTCAACAAAGATATACATATTTAGAAGCAGAAGTTCAAATTTATCCTTACTTCACAAACTTCTCCATATATCTGAATCTCTCCTACCAAATTTTTCTCCATTATAACAATTTGGAAAATAAAATTAGATAAAAATAGCTCAGTCTCAAGTAAGAATAGTTATCTTTTTCAAAATCAACCTAGGGGCCAGGGGTATAACTTAGCAGGGTGTCTGCCTGACAAATACAAAATCCCGAGTTCAAGTTCCAGTACAAAAACCAAACCAAAACAAACAAACAAAAAACCAAAACAACCTGGGGCAGTATCTCATTGGGAGCACTTTTTAAATGTCCTCTTGTCTTACCAAGATGTTATAATTTAGTCAGTTAGGAAAACCTCTGACAGTTTCCCTAACTTTTCTGTGGCCTGGAAGAATTTCTTTCTTTTTCCTATTTTTTTTTTTTTTTTTTTTTTTCCTTCTTGTTGGGTATGGAGAGTGAGAGGGTTTATCTTTGGCTTTTCTGAAATCCTAATTTTCCATGACTAAGAAAAAAGACATCAAAGGGCTCATTGCAATAGATAAAATGCCCCATCAAATAGCTCTAATAAAACAGCATCTTGATGGTTTTTGAGAAGATGGATCAGAAGCATATGGATTCAATTTCCCTTGGAAAAATCCATTGGGAAAAGGAAAGCCAAGTGGTGTGGATAAAGTGTTTCAAGTATTTTATCTATGTCCAATTTTGAAGTACAGCTTAAATTCTTTGTCAGTTAAAAGAAAAAAAATCCACTGGGAGTTTATTCTAGCTCTGGGCCCAGATTAGATTTTGACCCTCAAGGAGTCCAAGAAGACTTGGATTCCAGGAGCCTGAGAGTATAAATTGGGGAAATTCAAAAGAATGAAAATCTAGCTACTTCATATGTTTTAAAAGCTCATTGCATTTTAATCTCCAACCACAAGAGGCTCTTCTTGGTGTAGTGGGGAGGGTGGGAAGAGAGGAGAGCAGCTGCAGAAAGGATTCAGATCCTCGATCTTCTAGCTCACGACCTTATGTTCGCCACCTTCCATCTTCAATGTCATCAGCTCTGAAATGATCACTAATCTTCCCCATATTTCTGCAGTTGTTGGCCATTCTTTTATTCGGTGTCAATTAGATAAGAAAGAACTTTCAATAATTCAATAGTTCTGTACTAAAGGGCAGCTCAACCACACATAACTTATCTCTGCAGTTATCAATTGTTTTTATGGAATAGCCGAGTGAAGATCACTTGGTTAACCCATCACCCATCCATCAGAGCTCTGATTCATCTGAGTAAATGTAGAGTTATGATTTAATTACCAAGAGGTTGGGTTCAAATACAATGCAATGAGACTTGTTTATAGAATGATGGTTTGTTTCCCTTAGTTACTAATCACGAGCTTAATTTTTAATGGAAGAGCATTGCTAGCATAATTAACGCCCAATTTACATGGGCATCCATAGAACCAATTAATTAAATTTTATTGATGTCTAGTTGCTCTCTAAAATGCTTTCCAAATGCCTCTAAATTGATTTTAAACTGTTGATAGTGGAAGTCAGTTGATACTTTTCTTGGGTTTATGAAATACTAACCTCTTCATTCATTAAAATATATTTTATCTACTAGTGACATTCCATAACTTGCTAAGAATATTTCACATGGAATGCACAGTGTTATTTCATTGTAATTATCAGTTTGAACAGTGCGTGAAACCATTGCTGTTGTACTTGGGGGCTACAGTCAGGTGACCTCATGGATCTGCAAATGAAGAATGGTGGTGTGCTTTATGAAGCTAGAGAAGAGATCATTGAAATCAGCAAGATAAAACTGTGAATTCTGGGGATACTAGTACATGGAAAGGAAAAGTGTGTTGCCCCTAAAAATTTGAATAGAAATGAAAACTTTGAAAAAGAGGGTCCTAGAATATCACATATATACATCATGGAGATGAGATCTGGACATCCTGATTTTTCAGTTTATAAAAATGACAATCATACTACTCCCTGGCAGTCTTAATCCAATGTGGTTAGGTGTTAAATTCACATAAGCCCTCTTATATTCACCAAGATATCTTCTGAATGTAATACAGTTTTTGTTTACAGACTTACATGCATTAGCAGGGAGGTGACTGGCCCTAGGATTTTCACTGGTTTTTCAGTCTCAGTGTTGGTTCTTTTGCATCCTACACTAATCACATCTAGATCACATTAAACTTCACTGAATGAAAGAATGCCCAAGTGTCCTTGCTAACTGCTCTCCCTCATAGACATTTTGGAATCAAACATAAATATTACTCAGTTTAAAAAATATTACTCAGGGGGCTGGGGATTTAGCTCAGCAGCATAAGCGCCTGCCTTGCAAGCAGGCAGTTGTGAGTTCGATCCCTGGTACCAATAAAAAAAGAAAAAGACAAAAAAAAAATA